ACAACTTGTACAATGCTCACTTATTTTAAAATATATTACTACGTACATATAGAATTCCTCAATAATTGAAATTATTATCGAATACGGAAGCTTTTACAATGAGTACAATTTTGTTGGTATCTTTGAATGACCAATAAGATTGGGTAATGCTAATAATGGTTAAGTGCCTATTTCTCACGGGAGCGATTATAGGGATACCTGAGAGGTTTTGGAAATTTGGAGTCCTGGTTTATAGGAGAATTTGAAAATAATCAAAGTCATGTTATATATCTTTTTCAATTGAGAAAATCAGCTCATTAAATCTAATACTCCCTCTCTTCTTGTCACATTGACACATTCAATAATTGACTATATGATTTGGGGTCATTAAGTTAGACCATGTATCATAATTCTCCTTCGTAATTTGAAATTTTATGTGCTTAAATTGTTGTTGTCTTAATTTCGAAAAATAGAAGTACTATATTAGAAAGGAAAATTTGTCAAAAACAAGCTTTTAAAGTGTCCACTTTATTTAAAACAACCTTTTAATTTTTTTTTTTTTTGCAATTTAAGACCACATTATAATTTTTTTTTATCAAAGACAACCAAATGTTACTTTCCGGCGTTGACTCAATTTTTGCCGATGTTGACCACGAGTGTGCGAGTCACGTGACCTCCTACATTGCTTAATACACCCCTTTTTCCTCCAATTAACTCCTATTAAAACCTCTGCTTCTCTTTCATCCCTCTTTTAGTACAAGTGAATTGGAGTGAAAATTGGTGTATTAAGCAATATACGAGTTCATGTGCGTTGCACACTAGTAGTTAACATCGGGACAAATAGAGTCAAACGCCGGAAAGTAGCATTTGGTTGTCTTTGATAAAAAAAATTTATAATGTGGTCTGAAATTGCAAAAAAAATTTAAAAGGTTGTTTTAAATAAAGTGGACACCTTAAAAGGTTGCTTCTGACAAATTTTCCTATTAGAAATGTGATTTATATAGCAAAGAACGGAAATGTAAAAGTAACACGACTTTGTATGATACATATATATACATACATACATACATACATACAAGGCCAACAAGGTATGAAGATCGAACCCCCAACCACCTGGGGGGATTGGGGGGGGGGGGTGTGTGTGTGTGGAGGCATAGACGGATTTAGGGAGTGGCCTGTCTACCCCATGAAACCATGATCCTAAAAAGGTATTAGAAATACCTTTGCTAAGATGGTTGCATGCTTGTATAGTGGTATGTCTTACATCATGGCACGGGCATTGATGGATTTTTTACCCCTACTGATTTTAAGTTTATCTGTTGTAAAAATTTAAAGTTAATTTAATTTATGGAAATTTTGACATTTGCTACCATCTAAAAACACTTTGCTTCAGATTTGCTACCTTTTTTTTTTTTTTTTTTAATTTTTTTTTTTACTTTGCTACCACCTTAAACAGATGTTAAAATTCACTACCACTTAACGGAGTCCGTTAGAATTTGGGATTTGTTAAACATCGCCCACAAATTACTACATAAAGCCCACAAAATTCACTTGGTTTCCCTAAATTGCCCTTGACCTTAAAAAAAAAAAACACTCACACTCTCATCACTCACACTCTCATCACTCACACTCTCATTGCTCATCTTCTTTCAACCTCTCTAAAAAAAAAAAATTCAAAATAACGGCAATGTCGAGGCGGCAAGGCAAGGAAGTGGCGGCGGCGGCGGAGGGAAGGATGTCCCAAGGTGGAAAGGTATATTTTGTTTAAAAAAAAAAAAAAAAAGGGGGAAAACCGCCGTGAAAGCGGTGGGGCGCCCTGGCTGGACGCCCAGCCGGCGGTGGTGGCGCCAGATGCAGACGCCGCCACCAGTTGGCTGGCGCCTGGGCTGGACGCCACCGCCACGGTTGCGGCGCTTAGACTAAATATAAATTGGCTATACATCGTACCATGTCGTCGTCTGGAGTCCTCTAGAGAGTTCCTGATGTCGTTCTTCTGAGTTTCAATTGACTTGTTCAGTCTAGCGAACAGTGTATCCAAAGCAGCGGTCGATGAATCAATCCAGTCCTTGGTAGCTCTATGAGCGCTCTCAACTCTACATGTTGTAGTGTTCCCAAAATGAAGTACCTGGTTTGTCCAATACTTGACAAACTTTTCCCTATGAGGGACCCATTGATGCATCACATAGTCCACCAGTGCCGGACACCACTGGTACGAATCCCTGAAGTTAGCCAATGCTCGCTCATACGCTTCCTCTGTGGTAGCCTGTAGGATCTTCCGCCACTTACCATTCACCAATCTCTCTGCCATTTCCAAATTCTTCCTGAAAAGGTTGTAGGCTTTCACTTTCACGCAGTTGTTGATGTGCCATGTGCACAATAAGTGGTTCGATTCGGGAAACAGCTCTGCTATGGGGCAAAGAGACCTCCCTCACAGTCGCTGATGATGGCTGCTGGATGAACATTAGGCCCGATGTAGTTTCTCAGCTTCTCCAACACCCAATAATAACTTGGAGCCGTCTCATCCCTGATGATTGCATGACCAATCAGAAAGTTCTGGTTCGTTGGAGCCATCCCAACCATCTCAACCAGAGGGAACTTGTACTTGTTTGTCTTGTACGTTGAGTCGATCAAAATCACAAATGGCCAAGACTTGATCATATCAGCACAATCAGGATGCACAAGGAAAAGATGAGTCACCTCCGCTGTATCTTCATCAGAATCAAACCAGAACAGGTAACCACGTGATTGTGCCTGGTGTAGCAGCTGCTGTATAGGGTTCCTTCCCTCTGACCGTTCAAACCTGAGTTGCTGTCTGACGTTGTAGATGTGTCTTCGGTTTGGATGGTCTTCTGGAAATTTCTCTAACACAGATGCTAATATTTTAGCAGGCTTCACTTGAGCATCACTCATTTCTTTCACAACTAGTTTCGCAGCAGGACTTAAGCCGCTCAGTTGTCGATGACCCTCTTCATATACTATCATCTCATGGTTGTGATACCCCCATTTAGAGTAACCTATCACTTCCCAACCGTCACGACTCCGTAGTTGTCGAACCTTTACTCTGAACTCACACCCACAACCTTTCCGCTTTGTGTCAAACCGAGTGGCTGTACGAAAATCTCTTTCTTCTCTTTTGCGATAACGGTCACATCTCAAAATGCGATTCATTCTACCATCCCGTTGAGATTTATGAGTTGCTACTACCAAGCAAAATCCAGCTGCAATTGCAACCTGTTTTGCCCAATCAATCGCCTGTTGAGCTTCTACGAATGGACCATCATGTCCAAATATCCCACTGTAATCATTTCCGTCTCCACCATATTCCTGCATCAATTATATATTACAATAAATACATTTAACGGATAATACATTTAATTTCTATATTTCCACAGAATTAACACAAAAAAAAAACATAATTATATATAATCAAACTTAATTTTTATAAAAACCCAATTCGAATTTTCAAACTAAATTTCAAAATATACCATTTCGAATTTTCAAATTTAATTTTAAAAAAAACCTATTTCAAATTTTCAAATTTAATTTACAAAAAACCCATTTCGAATTTTTTTAAAAAATCATTTTCGATTTTTTTTTACAAAAAAATTAAATAAAAAACAACAACAAAATCAAAAAAGAAAAAAAAAATTAATTATTAAAGGTGGCGTCTGCCAGGGCTGCCACAGCCACTGGACTGGCGCCTGGCAGGGCCGCCTCACCCAGTGGAGTGGCGTCTGCCCAGGACACCAGTCTGGTGGTCTGGGCGTCTGGGCTGGACGCCACTCAGGTGGTCTGGGCGTCTAGCCTGGACGCCACTCTGGTGGTTCTGGCGTCCGGCTTGGACGTCCAGGCTACGGTTTGGGCGTCCATCCTAGGCGCCGTAGCCACTACGACGGTAAACCGTGAATTTTAGCGGTCACTTACCTCGTTTTCCGTCGACGACGACGTACCTCCGGCGTCCCCGCATCTCCGGCCTGCCATCCGGTCTCCCCCGACGAGCCAATACGGCTCCACATTTTTTACACCGAGATTATCTCAATTTTAGCAAAAGGGCATAATGGTCAAATCATAACATATTTGTGGGCTTTATGTGGTAATTTGTGGGCGATGTTTAGCGTTTCACTAGAATTTCCGTTATGTTTATTAAAAATTTAAAAAAAAAAAAAAAAAAAAAAACAAAAAACAAAAACAAAACCAGCCACCCAAAACACCTTAGCCACCATCCCCCTCCTGCCGCCGGCGCCACCTCCCCATGGTCCTCCACCTCGCCGCCGTAAAACTCCCCAAAAACCGCTCTTCCTCCTTCTCCTTCACCCACATTCTCCACTCTCGTTACCCACAAGCTTAATTGAATTGGGGTTTGAGATTTGCTCAGATCGATTGGGGTTTTTGGCTGGGATTGAGGCGGGTTTTCGAGGGGAGGGGCTGATAAGGGGGTTGGGATCGCGACGCCGGCGCCTTGCGAATTTGGGTTCGATTGCTGGGGTTCGAACGGACTGGGGTTGCCATTTTGGGTTCGATTGCTGGGGTTCGAACGGGCTGGGATTGCGAATTTGGGTTCCTCTTTTCTGTGTGCGGCGGCTGGCGGTGGCTGGGATTGGGTGTTGGTGCTAATTGGTGGTGATGTGAGGGAACAGGGGAAAGGGGCGGTAATTGATGGTGGTTGGCTGTGGTTCTGCTGCTAATTGGCGATTGTTGATGGTGGTTTGAGCGGCTGGGGTCGCGGCAGGGGATTTGGGAGCGGGTTGGGTGGTGGTTGCGATGGGGTTGATGTTGAACAGTGACGGTGGAAGGAGTGGGTGGTTGGGTGGTGGTTGCGGTAGGGTTGATGTTGAACAGTGACGGTGGAAGGAGAGGGTGGTAGGGTGGTGGCTGGACGGTGGTCGGGTGATGGTAACGGAAATGCTAACGGTGTAAGACAAGTGGTAGTAATTTCTAACAAACTCTGTTTAGAGTGGTAGCAAAGCAAAAAAAAAAAAAAAAATTAAATAGGTAGCAAATCTGAAGCGAGATGTTTTAGGTGGTAACAAATGTCAAAATTTCCTTAATTTATAAATCAACACTAAAATCCGGCCCGGTGAATGTAAAATTTCTGGATCCATCATTGGACGGAAGGACTAACTATCCCTCCATTTCCTATGTCCTCCTTTGTATGACACATATAGGTAACATTATATTGGTTCTTCGTTTTCATCGAATAATAGCAGAAAATTCAAAATTATACTCAGTAGTATTTAACAATCTTAACACAAGTTGCAAAAAATATCTGTAGTACTCTGCTTGCCAATTCAGAGAATAATATGTATTTCTGCTCAGATAATCAGATGGTACGTTCAAAGGGATTAAACATGAATAATAGTGATAACAGTTGGATTGTTGGAGCTCTACTTCTGAAGGTTTTTGTTTCTGAAATGCTATATTTTTGTACTGTCAGGCAACCTGAATAGGCTTCAGTGGCAGTTTGCCTCCATATATATCAGGAAGTTGACTCTCGTCGATATCTTCTAGCATGGTTGATGTTAGTTGCCGTTTCTCCACAAATACTATCTGTAAATAACCGCGAAAATGAATTATGGTTTCACTCATGAAATCTAGCCTTGTAAATCACATTATACATGTATTTTTTGTTGATGAACTTGCAAAATTTTGACAGATGTGCTTTAATTTGGATTACTTACTTTGGTCTTGGTGTTGTCGTCGATGAATGGGTAAATAATCTTCCATACAGCCATAAAGATTCTTGGTGCATGGACTATGAACAGCTTACCTAATCTTTCTGGATAACAGTCCTGCAAACAAACCCTTCATATATTTTTGGTGTTTAAAGAGTCACAAGGGCAGGGGTGAGAATCGATCCAGGATCTCCCTCAACCCTCACTCTTACAAACCCTTCATATTAACAAGCTAAGAATTTTTATAATACATAATTATCTTTTTTGCTAGTTAGATGTGTATAATGTAATATACTAGTATGAAGTTGGTTTATAAACTTGTATTAGGACAATTTTCCTAGGGGAGTCGTAGTCAGGGAGAAATTGTGATCTTATATTATTATTACCACCTACAAAATGGGCCGTTAAATTAAAATACTTATCCGAAAAGGTAGATAGAGTGTTAGGACAATTGTCTAAAGCAGAACAAAAATTAAACTGATTTTACCTGCAAGATAGAGAGAGCTCCAAGATATCCACGGATGTCGCTGTTCGAGTACCCCCATCCTTGAAGATCTCCAATAGCACAAAACTTCTCCTGTCCAAGGGGCATCCTGTTTGAATAATTAAATCAATTGAAACATTTAATTAGGCTTTCAACATCAATGTTGACACACATTAACCGCAAAAAAATACCAATAAACCTTTTATTTCAGGTGATCTAATATAAATTCAAACATTATTCACTAGCCAGTAGAAATATTCAACAACAAAAAAAGGAAAAAAAAAAACCACAAAGTCTTAAGAAAGTTGCTGTAGTAACCTTGTGCATATCTTGTCAAGAACATATGCAGCAAACCCTGTAAAACCCACAGAAAACCATGTCATCAGAACACTAAATTTAATTTCCTGCAGCTGGTGCGCGCAGCTGTACATCAGATCATGGAAGTCAATCTAGCAGTGAAGATGAATGAGTTAAGATGAGAATGGATGCATACGTTTAAATTCATCAGAACCTCCAGGTGTGGTGTTTTGGAAGTGTCGGCGAGCCAACACAACCAGTATAGGACGTCCTTTCTTATCGTTACCTCCTACAAAAGCTTTGTTTTGAGAAAGTTCATTCTGTATTTCTGACTCTGATACATATCCATTAGGTATGAATGTTTTTCTCCATTTCAGATACTTCAAGAACATCGCCCCTGCCTTCTCCACATCTAGATCGCGTGCTCTTAAAAATCTTCTAAGTGTCAAGTCATCTACCTCCTGGTGTGCATTTTAGAAACTTTTTTAGCTTATGTTAAGTTTATGTTATTGGATCATGCATACAAATATAAAGAAATTTTTTCATGCATATTAAATTTGAGTACTAGACATTGTCAAACTATTCATTTTTAGCACCTTCAATTCTAACTGAAAATTTTGTTATGTTGATCAAGCAAAGGCAAAGACTAACTAGAGGGCTTAACTTTTGTCCAAAGTTTTCGACAATGTCATCCTGTTTGCTCCCAAGCACTCTTTGATGATTAGTTTTTTTTTATTTAAGTATTCTGTTTTTTGGATAATCTTAGCTAATTAAGGTCTCAAAGGCTACTTTAAATTTTGTGTTTGTACTTTTACCAATTATATGCAGAACAAACCTAACAAATAATGTTCTTTTGTACATATATAGATTATTGCAAAAAAAAAAAAAAAAAAAAAAAAAAAAAAAAACCAAGGGATTGAAAAGGAGAAAACCTTAGAAGAAGGATCACGGCATTCAACAAAGGCTCTCATAAGTGACAGTTTATGTTGTTCTGCAGTATTTTCCTTGCCTTGGATGATCTCCTTCACATCACTCCCTTCACCGGTGTCTTCCATTATTCTTTCTCGATTTAATTTTTGTTTGGAATTTTTCGCGTTATCTATGTGAGTAGTCTTACAGTTCTCTCTAAATAAACTACACAAGTAGCTTAGCTCAAGTAGTGACAGCAATAGCGTGACAAGAGGGGAATGTATGATTAACCAGATTTATTATCAACCGAATTTAAATGACTCAAATTACTTGTAGAATGTAGTACTAATGTAGTATATGGTCCTGAAAAGAATATGCACACAATAGTAGTGTTTAGATTGTTTAGAATACTATAATTGGGTATGCTAATTGCCAACTACTAGAATTTATGAGTACGTAATTTGCGTTGTTGAGTATGTAGGCCAGTTGGAATTGACAACAACGTGAGCTGCATGTTAGGAAAAAATTATTTTGTTGGGCTTAATTGATTGCGTAATAACTAGAATATGAGAAGACAATCATCTAACTACATTTATTTGATTTCATCATGTATTTATGATTTTGTATGTGTGATGTTAACTAGTTCTACTCTTGTACATACATATTCTAGAAAATGGGAGATTTGTCCCTACTGTGTTGCGATTATATAAAATGGGTTGTAAAACATTTTGTGATTGTCTTGTAATTAAAGCTTTGAGATCAGATTAAATCAGACCAGACCAGACTATTATGCCGAACAAATCTTATAAAGAGATATACACATATGTAGTGGATCACACATTAAAATTACAACTTAAAAATAAATTTCACGAATTCCATTCCACATAATGTAATAGGTGATTTGTATGAACAGATGAAAGTCCCCATTCTTCATCGTCTCCACATTTGTATGTTGATCTGTCAAGGTAGCATTAGTCTCTACAAAAACTCATAATATTGTACAGCAAGAGTTGGTCTTTTTTGCTTGCTTGTAGAACATCTGTGCCAAAAACAAAAATTTGTTACCGTAAGTTATCATAAAAGAAAAAGATTTTTCCCAACACTCGAGCTACAACGTCACAAGTCTCACAACCTTTTTTCTTTTTTTTTTTGAGGGGGGAAAAAAAATAAAAAATAAAAAATAATTTCAAGCTAAATAAAATCTTGTTTGTCATGCATATCACAATTTCAATTCAAACAATTAAACTGATTATCGTTGAAACAAGATACCAAATGAAAATTCTACAGCCAATAACATTGAACTCATACTTGTTAAAACACAAACCCAAACTCATGTTCTCATTCTTTAATTATTTATTTCTAACGCTTCATTCCCCCATTCCTAAAGTCCAAAAGAAGGTGATTTCACATCTAGCATGGTTTAGGCCCCTTTTGGTTTGATGTATAACATTATCAAACAAAAACTAGTTTCGTGAAAAGAATATTTGCAAGGAAAACCGCAATTGCAAGTTAGTTTTCCCTTGTTTGGTTCAAACTTCCCCCCCTCCAATCTCTCCTTTTCTATCTATGTACTCCTATAAACTTCATAATTATTTTTCAGTGTTAATTTCAGATCCTTTCGGACTTTTCCTCTTAGAGCTTGTTTTGAGTAAAATCTCCAAAGAGAAAAACCAAGAGTTCTGCTTTTTGCAGTACAAAGCAAGAGAGCTCGGATGAAATGTACAACGCCAAAAAAAAGCTGCAGACAATTATTCAGCACATCACATTCTAACACACACACATGAAACAAATATATAAACAAACAATATTATCAAATTTGAGTTACTGAGTTAAAACCTTAGCTTGCACATTGACATAAGACAAAACATTTAACCTTACTTGATAAAGAGATTAAATGATCCTAGAATAACAAACTGAACAGTTTATCTTGGAAAATTTCCTATGTTCATCTGTGAAAAGATAAAATACAAAATTATAGGAATTTATTTTTGAGGCTTGTTGGTTATAAAAAATAACAGTCATGTTCTCCAATAAAATTGTGACCAAGGTACAATGTGGATAGGCAATGGGACACCTATGCAATAGATCAAGAGACAGTCCTCCCACATCTTTCAGTGAAAAATAAAGGCCTAAAATGTAGGACAATATAAAGAGCAGAAAATTCTCAAACATAAGCATATCTGGCAGAAGTACAAGGAAAAAACACCACTTGCAAGAAATATATACATACAAGCAAACACCAAAATAAAAAATAGCTAAAAGTTACGAACAATGATCAAATAAACACCTGTGATGCAGCACTAAGATCAGAACTCTTTTCTACCAAGCTATCCAGCCTTTCACCACGCTCTAGGACACTATCAATTGTCTTATGCTGCAGAAAATTGAAAAAAAAGGATTAATAAAAAAAAATAACAATTTAATATCAGACAATCTTATTGAAAGAAATAAAAGAGAGTACTAAGCAGACTCATTCCTGCAATAGTGCCATTACACCTACCAACAATATGCCTTTGTATGCATTATGCATTTTGATAAAGCACAATATATTTCTTATTAGGTTACCCAATCATCACATTGCAGAAAAGGAACTGTCGGATGAGCAGTATTGCAGTAGCAAGTATATACTCCATATATACATATTAGAGTAATACATGTCCAAAAAAAAAAAAACTGTCAACAAAACTCTTAGCATTGACATAGGTTTCTAGGAATACCAAATCTTTTCAGATAACTAAACTCAAATGGTTCAAATTTGATATTACAAAACCTAAAGCTGTAAAAGCTGCTGCTTTAATTAATGAAGGCTGGGCAGAGACTGATAAATAGCTTTTATACCTAAAAATGTATGTAACAAAACAAAAATGGCACAAGTTCAGTAGACAAGTACATGTAAACGCATGTATATGTGAAGTAAGGCAAAGCAAACTTTTAAGAGTTGGTGCCAAGTAGATGATAAGGTTTATAGAATAGATTTATCGTAAGATACAAGCTGTCAAATCACAGTTTTAGAAAGCAAAGGACATATTAAAATAGGCCATGTTACTCAGATGACAGCGCAAATTTCATACAAGAATAATCTTAGTTTCATCCAGCTCCCTTTGAATCTTCAGTAGCTTGTCAGCTTCAGCTGGGTCCTGTAGATTTAGTAAAAGAAACCATGATCAGTTCTGTCTCAAAAAGCATACACATACAAAATACCTCAATCAATATAATGGTCTAATTAGAAATGCCAACACAGAAATACCTGGTACTTGGCCAAAGCCTCATTCAAATAAGGCCATGGTTGTGTGCTATCAGAATTTACACCTTTCCATGAGTCACCAAATGCCTTTTGGTATTCATCTAACACCTATAAAGCATTAACATCAATAGCCATCCATGGATTGAAGAAATTCAATTGCTACGGTTACTTTGTCAAATTGTCAAAAAAAGAAAGGAGGGGGGGGGGGGGGGGGGGGGAGCACAAAGCATGCACTTGAATATAATAGTGTCACTAACAATACCAGCTGAAAATTTGCAGATCAAATTATCTTAAACTAAAAGTAGATAACTGTAAATAGGCAATAAATAAAGTGGATCTTATTCCAACATCTGTAAGAAAGGGGAAAACTAAGGTGACCATTAGTTTAAACTTTAAAATACGTTATTTTGCAGATCAAATTAACTTAGTTCGTACAGTGTTTTAACTCACCAAAAGATTTGTAAAAAATAAAACAAAATTATACATATTTCAAGGGGATATAATGTTACCTATGAACCCCCACCCCCCAAAAACCACAAACCAAATTGCAAACCCATACCAAATATAAAACTAGTTAAATGGCTTGGGAGGATACGATACTCCGTATTACAATTACAATATTGCATACAACATTAGTTCTTACAACTATTTTACAAGAGTGATTGGATAGTAAAGAAAGGATAAACATTATCAATGAAATGGGGAAAACAATAGAGAGCAAATGAGGAAGGAAGAAACTAGTAAAAGCACACACACACACACACGCACAAAAAAAAAAAGAATGAAAGAGATTAAAGTTGTGAGATAATCCAGAAGACAGTCTTGTGTGTGTGTGTGTGTGAAAAATAAAAAAATGAAAACAGAGATTAGCGTTGTGAGATAATCCAGAAGACAGTCTCACGTGAGTGTGGATGGGTGGGTGGGTGTGTGTGTGCACGTACACGTGGGCGTGTGTGCATGTGTAACGTGTGTGTGTTATAGGAGATACTACCAGCTAGCACAGTTGCAGATAAAGACCGACAAGTGAGGATAGGAGACACTACCAGCTAGCACAGTTGCAGATAAAGACCGACAAGTGCGGTTAGGAGATACTACTAGCTACACAGTTGCAGATAAAGACCGACAAGTACGGTTAGAAATCATAGGAGAGGACAGCAGGAAACGTGATGTAACAGTACACAGACACACAAATATTTCAACAAAGCCTCACATTCTAAATTTTAGGAAATTTTGACAATTACCACCTTCTGTTATGTCCATTTTAGCAATTACCACCTTCTATTTTTTTTTTTGAAAATTACCACCTTCTACTTTCAAAAACATCAAAAGTTACCACCTTCTTGCCCCCCCAACTACCACATGACATCATTTTGGGCTCATTCTTTCCCTTCCCTCCTTATTTCCCTCACATTTCTCATTCCTATTTGGATACCAGCAGAGGTTTATTGTCTATGCCATAAGAAAATCACTATACATGTAATAGGCCAAAGTACCTGGGTTAGCAGCGAAAATGCACTCCGGACTGGGTAGGGGTCATCCATAAAACCCAGTGCACAAAGGCCCCCTCTATTGTAAGCATGCACCTTGTATTCTGATCAAAAGAAGAAAAAAAAAAAAAAACAAATAAGGTTCAGAGCCAATAAAGCTGAACAAGAAAAAGATGTGAATGTTCAACTATTAGCATAATCCTTCACTCACACTTTCTTTTTAGCTAAATCACTCGTGAACCTAAAGCAGCAAACTCAAGTAACAACACTTGCAGGACTCATTCATAGGGCAACTGCCAACCGTTGGATTTATAAGCAATGTGATATCAAACCCCAATAGCAATCCTGAACATAATTAAACATATACATAGTATTTGACATTCTCATTATTGCTGAAACAAGGTAAGCTTTGTATGAATGTTCAATCATTTAATCAACATATTTCATCAAACAAATTACTTTTATCTAGCACACTAATCAACCAAAACAGAAAACACAAATCACGGTACTCTTAAAGGGTGCAACTTAGAGGGCAACATCCAATATGTGTAAATCAAAACAGTTTGTAAGTATCGAACCCAAACCGCAATCCTGAACAGAATCTAACACAATAATTACCCAATGAGCAATTTAATTTCAGCATATGATTAGAACATTAGAGCTGATCCTTAAAAAAACAAATAACTTTGCTGAACTAAATATTAAATTTCAATCCCAAACCCATAAAATCAAGGCACAAACATTTCAATCAACCCAAAAAATGGAATAATCCTAAACCCACAAAAACAGACAATCAAACAAGACCAATTACAATAAAATGAATCAAAAAAAGTAAAAATAGAAACCTTCATGTTGAACAGATTGACGTTGGCCAGGACGGGTGCGTTTGGCAACAGTACGAGAGACGAAGACGATGAATTCACGAACGCTGGATCTCTGAAAGAACCCGAAAGTACTCACATCCGATGCATTTGCTAAGATTATCGGATTTTCTTCACTTGACCCGCATTTCAGAACCACAATTGCCGTGATCTTCATCACGACTTCTTGCTTTTCTCTCTACAAAACTGAAATCATTCTTATTAGGTTGTGCTTGGATATCTACTCAATTCATTTCAAATGAAAGATTTCAATTTCAGAATTTGAATTCAATTCCGAAATAGTTGAATTTCAATTCCTGGATTTCAAATTCCATGTGATGTATGAACAAGAATAGAATTTCTACAGATATGCAGAGTATATTAAACATTGAAAAACTGAAATTATTAAATTGATATGTGGAAAAACTTTGATTGAAGGATACAAAAAAAATTAAAAAATTAAAATTTAGAAGATTACCTGAGCAAAATACAGCGCCTAAGCAACGAGAAACCCAGAATAAAATTTGATTTATATTCTTCTCCTTTTCAAACAACGAAATCTAGGCCGGTTCTTTAGAGTTGTTTTCCTTTGGAATCAATTGCTTAAAATAAGAAAATGAGGAATCTTAGAGCACCCACAACGCCACAAATCCACAATAGTGGGGTGGCTCATAATTTTCTCTTCCCTACTTTTCCCCCTCCGAGTCACCCTCTTGAGTCACTCCTTTTATTTTTCCTATAATGATGAGTAACCTCATCATTCTCTCTCCTACTTTTATCAATACCCCACCATATTTTGTTTCTCCTATCAATGAAGTTTGTGTTTAATTATTCTTCTAATAAACATATTAGTCGAACTAATGACATCTATAAGTTCTTGAATTTGTCATTAATTTAGTTTACGTAATAATTATTTATAATAATTATCAAAGTATTCGTAATAATGACATGATTAATTTAAATATTATTTAAAAAAATATATTGAAGACTTAACTATTATTACTCGTAAAATAACAATATCACATTTAATTCATAGACGGAACTGAAAAGAACACGGGAAAACATAACAGTGAAAAAAAAACATTACATAAGAAAATAATTATCCGACTACTTGATATCGTCATTCATTACCAAAACGACTCCATACGTGCTCAACCAAGTCTTTTTTCAATGACACATGAGTTTCCCTGTCTCGGACCTTATTTTTGTTTGCCATGTAACCCGCTAAACTGAGATTACGTAGTCGTCCTTCTCTCACAGTGAATGGTTGGTTAATATCTTGGTTTGAAGATCCGGCTATATTTTGAGGTTGATTAGTGATAAATTCATATGCATCGTAATGCAAATAGTTCTCTCGCTCATCTTAAACAATCATATTGTCCATGATAATGCATGCCATAATAACTTTCCATAGGATTTCTGTCAACCATGCGAGAGCTGGTTATAACACCCCCGATTTACTAGCTAATAATAAATAGGAATTAAAGGAAAATAAATAACCTTTGAATAAAATTGCGGAAGCATACACCTTAATCGAAGGTATTACCGCCACACTCAACAACCTGTCAAGTGTTAAGGCTTACAAAATCCCAATAATTACAACCCGATAATCTAAGTGAGCTATTTATACAACTTTATAAATTAAACTTGTTATAACAAACTAATCGAAACACTTGAACTCCTTTAGCTACAACCACTTAATCAACCTATTTAGACAAACTTAACTGCTCACCATTAAGGACAAATTCCAAAATAGATCGTCGCAGGGCCACCATAAGAAAAAGACATGACCGCAAACACAAGTAGCACAACAAAATAACACATACGTCAGCAAAAAGCTGAGTAATCATCACATATCAGAGTATATAGAGTATACTATAATAATTAACATTACTATATCAATTAAATAATGTAGTTCGAAATTACATTACACATTGTACTCTGAAAAATAACCTTTATCAACTAAACCTCGAATAATAATAATACGAACCTTTACTCAATCAACTCATATAACCCATAAGTGTGTCATGCTCGTTGTTCGATCTATACCTAGCCTTGGACATGGGTAATTCGAATAAGTAAACCAACAAGTATAAAAACTTGAATACTCTCAATAACCAGAAAACACCTTCAAACCAGACCACATACGGGTCAATTTCCACTGTAGGGGACCATATAAAAATATAAATAAAGATTGTACCTCATTCTTAACTCATGATTATCATCCTCTTACCAACATGCCAAGGGCTAAGATATATAACGCCAAGCCTCAAACCAAGAACAAAATAATAATTCTCAACCTTTTGATCTTATACATCGATCAAATAACCATTCACAAACTAATAATAATATCTCAACAATGACACATGTTCCCAAATAACATAACAATTCAATTCAAAAACATCTCAACTCTTAGGAAAATAATACTAGCACCCAAAAATAATCAAATCTCAACCTAATATAATAATACTCTGCATTAACAACCCTAAAACCTCAATATAACAATACTCTCTAAAATAACAACATTAAAAACCCTAACACGAAATAACACAATAATCAATTCGAAAAATTAAATCATATAATACAGTATAACAAAAGTAATACAATATTCAATACCAATCAAATCATATAATACCATATAATAATCAATTACATACATATACAAGATTACAAATAATAAATCATACAATTCATATATAATAATAAGAAATACAATACAAACGACTCCAAAATAAGTTCTGTGTGATTACCTTTCGAAAATAATTAACCAAATATTAAAGAAAGGTCTTGATTGCTTTATCACATCTTATGCGCACAACTCCAAACACTTTGCAATAAAAAGTAATTGGTTTGATCAAATGATGATCTTGGATTGCCGCATGATATAAGAAGGGAATTGATGAAGTTTGAGCATAAGACAAATAAAGTAGTGGAAACAAGTTTACAGAGGTCAAAGCTTAGAGTTTTTGAGAAGAAAAAAAAACATGACTGCACATACGGCCATATATATATATATATATATATATATATATATATATATATAGGGTTTATGATAATTTATACGGTATAGGATAACAAAAAAAATTATAAAAAAAAAATTTTAATAATTTTTTTTACAAAATTAAAAAAAAAATCTTATTTTAGTCATAAAATATATCTGATAAACTCTTAAAATATTCGGGTATTACACTGGTTGTCGTATTATTGCGAATCGAGCTTGTAACACTCCGAAGGCACGCTCAACATCTTTGTGATAACTTTCTTGCTTCCTCGTAAATAATCTTTGCTTAGAAGTTTGTGGAAGCTTGATGGATGGGATAAATGTTGTTGGATATATACCATATGTAAGGTAGTATCCCATATTGTATCTATTTCCATTCACATTAAAACTCACCTCTGGGGCTCGACCTTCACAAATATCATCGAACATTGGCGACCGTTGGAGGACATTTATATCATTTAGTGAACCAGGTGTGCCAAAAAAAGCATGCCATATCCACAAGTCTTTGGAAGCAACAACTTATAAAATTATGGTCGCAGTTTTACTTCTTCCTTGGTACATTCCTTTCCATGCACGTGGACAATTTTTCCACTCCCAATGCATGCAGTCAATGCTCCCCAACATACCGGGGAATCCACGAACATTACTTTCACGAAGAAGTAGCTCTACATCTGAAGGTGTTGCCCTCCTCAGATACTCTTGTCCAAATTTAGAGATAACCCCTTCAACAAAGTGTTGGAGACAATCTCTTGTTGTACTTGCCGCAATTTTGAGGTATTCATCAACTGCATTGGCTGATGTACCATAAGCCAACATCCTCATTGCCGCAGTGCATTTTTGAAAAGCCGAAGCACCAAGTCTTCAAGTGGCATCAGCCCTTTGTCGAAAGTATTCGTTACTTTTTCTTAGCTCCTCAACAATGCGCGTGAAAACGTGTTTACGCATGCGAAATCTTCGACGAAACATATCGTCATTATAAAGTGGTTTAGGACTGAAGTAGTCATTATATAAACGTGTATCAGTATCTTCACAATCTCTTGGTACATACCACCTTTGCTTCTCAGGATCGGGAGTGAATGGGACATGAAAAGTAGAGGTGACAAGGGGGACAACAGCTGAATTGATAACTTCCTCAATTAATTCCACTTCCTTACGCCTCTGAGTAATTGATTCGTGCCACTCAGCATAGTCGTTCACCATATAATCGAAAATACAAGAACTTGATGAACTAGATGAATTTGAATCAGAATTCATTTTTGGGTATATATGGTAAGAGTAGTGTTTAGTGTGAGACTGTTTTTGTGAGGAAGGGTATTTTTGTTTGTGTGTTGAACTACAAAGTGAATAGGCCTTATATAGAAATTTGTAAATGATTTGAAAACAATTACAGATGAGATAATGTATGGTGACAAAAAAGTAGAAGATGAGATTTCTGATAAGGTTTTCAGATTTCCATCCAATTACAAAACAAAGCATGTATTGGCACACAACTCTAGATGATGAGATGTTCTGATCATTCTGATCAAATATCCTGATTTCTATCCAATTACGAATTATTATATAGGCACGCAACTCTAGAAGATGAGATTACTGATAAGGTTTGCATATTTCCGTCCAACTACAAACCAATGTTTGTGCCCATATCTCTATAAGATGAGATTAAAGAGTTTCTTCATTGACAAGTCAATGACTTCAATTATATTTAAATAGCATTAATAAAAACTAGTTTTACATATGCTCAAAAAACAATTGTTAAATCATACCAAATGAACAACAACATAAATTAAGGCAAACGTTGAAGAAGCCTAAACTAACTTAAAATAATATTAAACTAACAACATGAATAACTAGCCTAAAAGGTGGCTGAACTCCTCTTTCAATTTCTGAAATAGTTGTTGGTCGTCCTCAGAGAGGTTTGGTTTTGCAAGTAGAACACTAAATAACTTGAACCTCTTTTCCTCCTCTTACCTTTTTTTCTTCTCAACATCTCGCTGCTTTTGATAATCCAGCATTTGTTGCGCTACATCAGCTCGCTTCTTATCAACACTTTTGTATTGCTCCTTCATCACATTCATCTCTGATAAACATTCATCTCTGATAGGGCTTGAGTAAACGAATCTAAACTACTAATTCCAGAACTAGCTATAGATTTACCTTTTCTTTTTGCCTTTTTCACCCCATCTGGACGTCCACGCCGACCTACTTCCGTTGGAGTATCTGGTTCTGATATTTTGGAGCTATCACTTTCACTAGTATTCGGAACTTGCTTGTTTGTTGGCCTCCATTTATCATATTTTTTTTAAAACATCCCATATACTGATTATAGTGAACCGGGCTCCGTTACATGATGCACTATACATTTCTTGAGCTTCAGTCATGACATTGTAAGTGTTGGTACCACTTGCATTTCTACGTTGTGCCGCAACATAGCACCCAACCCATAGGTTCACATCTTTGTTTATTCTAACCCAACGACCTTTCATAGCTCTCAAGGTTCTGCGGTGGATAGAGGAAGAATTGTCTTTCCTAGCTTGCTCATACAAATCATATATGGATTTCCACATCATAGCCAAACTATGATCAGTTGTTGTCTCCGGATCTTCAATCGCACATTCTATCCAAGATGAGACAAGTGCGTCGTCTTCTTGTGCACCCCACTTTGCATTTGACGTGATGGTGTTGCTATCTTGCAGATCTTCACCATCAACGTCATCATCGTCATTTCATCATCATTGGCATTTCTTTCAAGAGGAGTTTTGTTGCTACTTCCATCTCCCCCGGGAGTTGTTGGACTATTCTCCACTTGGATTCCAATGTGTTGAGACATTGGGAACATTAAACCAGAAGAAAAATTTTGGGCAATTTGATTCATGAATTGTTGTTGGAATTGGTTAGGAAACTGCTGATTAAGATTTATAATTGGTCGGTTAGGAATGTTATAATATAACATTCTTTGAACATTTGGATTAGCAAGACCATTTGGATCAAAGTGGCACTAGTAGAAAATAAGTAATGGGAAGCCCCAAATGGCAAGCGGTTTTAAAAATCCGCTTGCCATTTACCCAATTTTTTAAAAATAAACCTGTAATATTAAATGGCAAGCGGTTTTGGCGCGAACCGCTTGCCATTAGATATATTGGCAAGCGGTTCAACCCCAAACCGCTTGCCATTTAGAAAAAAAAAAACCGGGATCACAAACCCTAAGCCAATAAATCCCTACACATTCTCACAGGCCTCTCTCTCCTCTCTCCCCTTTCACCCCTATTACCAGTTCTCTCTCACTCCTCTAATTCACTCCCTCACTTCTCTCTCCCCTCTCCCTTCCCCCCTCCATTGTCACGCATCTTCTCTTTCTTCTCAACTCTCCTTTCTCCATCTCCTTGTCTTAGCTTTCTCTCTCATTTCTTTCTTTCCTTTCTCACGCCAAGACCCATTGGTGCTTGTGGGTTTTTGAGCCAATTCCGGTGGTAGTCTGGTGGGTTTTCGAGTGAATTCCGGTGGATTTTTGAGCCAATTCGAGATGGTTTTTGAGCCAATTCGTGTGGGTTTAAATGGTGTAGTCCGGTGGTGGTGCGTGTGGGTTTTTATGGTCGAATTCGACAATAAAAACTCTAGGTCTAGAGTTTTTATGGTCGAATTTGACCCATAAAACCCAAATTTAAAGCCAATTTCGAATTTTTTGGTGGTATTCAAGGTATTTCCTTTTTCTTTTTAATCTTTTATTTTGTTTTTTCAGTGTTTTTTTTTTAATTTTATTGTGATGGGTGGTAGAATTGGTTTGTTTCAGGTCAATTTGTTGTTGGTGGGGTGTCGTGGTGGTTGGTGGTGTTGGCCGGTGTTCTGGTGTTGGTGGGGGTCGTGGGTGGACGGGTGGTGGTGGGTGGTCGTGGCTGGTGGGTGTTCTGGTATTGGTGGGGTCGTGGCTGACGGGTGTTTTGGTATTGGTGGGGGTCGTGGTGGGTGGTCATGGCTGGTGGTGTCTGGTGGGTCGTGGTGGGCCGGTGGTGTTGGTGGTCGTGGCTGGTGGTACGAAGTAACATGAGCTTGGTTTTTTTTTTTTTTTTAATAGAGCTAATTTTTTTTTGTATTAGTTGTATTAATTTTATTACTTGTATTTATTTTTGATGTGAATGTAATATTACAACAAATCATTAATAAAAATATTAATGTTTTTACATATGTTTGGTTTGTGTACCAATTTATGTGAAAAAATCCAATTTTTTTTTTTATAATTTTTATACCCATAATGGGCAGCGGTTTGGCGCCAAAACCGCTGCCCTTTCTCTAGTAATGAAAAGCGGTTATGAACCGCTTTCCATTTAAATGGCATATGGCAAGCCCCCTAAGCCCATGCGGTTCAAAACCGCTTGCCATTAGGGGGTTTGAACCGCTTGCCATTACGTTTATTCTACTAGTGTGGAAATTAGCTTGAAAATTTGGAGAATTGGAACTAATTTGGTAATTTTGATTATTTGGGTTATGTGGGGAGTAGAAATTATTTCCTTGATTATTAGGATCCATAATTAGGACTACATTATTTTTTTGAGTTTAGATAATATATAACTTAGCTTTTGTGGGTTAGTAGAGGGATGGTAAAAAATTTAAGTGTGAATAACATAGGCAATATTGGTCTCTTTTTATAGGCAAAAATATAAGAAAGCCGTTGGTAATTTTTTTTTTTTTTTAATTCAGAGAAGATTTTTTTTTTTTTTTTTATTACCGTTGAAAGTTTTTTAAGAGATAAAAATCATTTGAAAATATAAGCTCCAACAGCTATAAAATCAATGGCTTCAATTTAATCAACACAAAAGTAAGTGGACACGTGGCGAAAATCTGGCGGACCGCATCCTCCTTGACGCGCGTCAGAAATTTCAGAATTTTTTTTTAAACAATCAAACGGTACCCTTTTTCAGCAATAAATGGCAAAAAAAAAAAATATGAAACGCAACGTTCAACTTTATGTGGGCCGAGGCGTCAAGTGACCCGCCAGAGAGGGCATCCCCAATCTATGGGTTACCCATGAGTCACCTCCTACAATGGTGAGGTAGCTCAAATGGAGGAGAGAGAGAGAGAGAGAGAGAGTTGTGGGGAGGGTGCTCCCCACCATTGTGGGTGCTCTTAGTAATTTGGAATTTGATTGCAACTTTGTAATTAATGTTTTGTCTTTTCTTATTTTATTTGTTTTATTTATGGTTATTGGCTATAATTAAAGGAAAATACTATACATACCCTTTAGAGCTACATATAAACATTAAAAATATTCTTGAAAATTGTTTAAATTTAGAAAATCATGACAAATTCACACTAATCTATGCGTGTTTTTGTCATGAATTCCTAATTTTATACAATTTCCAAAAATGTTTTTAATGCTAAGGGCTATATATAGCATTACCCATAATTAAATCACCTATAATAAATTTTGATTGAAATTTTTTTCATGTCAGCAATCCACTAGCACATACATTAACCAATCACAATTATTTGACTCTTTAAACACCTAATTAGATTAATAATTCATGGATTATGAAAATTATTCACCTTATAATAATGTTAGGAAATATTCAATATAAGTACATCATTTTGAAACGCCCAAAATAGTATATGGGACTAACAAAGTGAAACGAAGGGAGTATAATATAAAGTTTTGGTAGTAAGAGATAGAAATAATAAAAAAAAAAAAGTAATGTGGGTGGGGTTGGTCGAAAAGACAAATAATAAAATATTTGTGAAAGTGAGGTTAATAGGAGAGAGAAATTATAAAATAATGGCAGGCTCTTTTCCAAATATAGTAGTGTTGCAACTAATATGAAACGACCGAAAAT